AGAAGAAAAACTACCCATTCAAATCGGGGAGTAGTTTCAAGTTGGAGTTTTAAAATAATTTTAAAATAAAAATAGATATCTTATAATTAACTATAATTAGAAAATGAAAATATAAATATATAAAAAAGTAACTACCCATTCAAATTGGGTGGGAGTAGTTTCAAGTTGGAGTTTTTAAATTATTTTAAAATAAAAAAGCTATAAAAAACGAAAAAAGGAGGAAAAAAAATACCCATTCAAATTGGGAGTAGTTCAAGTTGGAATTTTAATATAATTTTAATATAAAAAACAAAATTAAAAAAATAATAAATTACCAATTCAAATTGGGGAGTAGTTTTAAGTTGGAGTTTTAAAATTATTTNATAAAAAACAAAATTAAAAAAATAATAAATTACCAATTCAAATTGGGGAGTAGTTTTAAGTTGGAGCTTTAAAATTATTTAAAATAAAAAAACAAAATAAAGTAATAAAAAAAACTTCAGAGAAAAATATTAAATAATGTAATATGCTAATGAAACTTTCTACTAACAAAGTAATAGTACTAAATATTGAAAGATATAATAAAGAAAAATACATAACAAAAACGTTATTCGATGTGCTGCCTGTATAAGTCCCGTTAGTTTAACATAGATTTTATTCACTAAAATTTAGATAATATTATTAAGAACAACATAATAAAATTTTTTAAAAAAAAATTCAATAGTAATAAATTATGTATCTTCTCATATATTATAAAAAGAAAGCGAATACTAAATATTGTTTAATATAATAAAGAAAAATAGAAGAAAAAAGTTATTCACTGACTATATAAGTACGTTTGATTTAATAGAGATTTCATTATTGGGTATATCGTATTGACAAACAAGATGACAATTGAATTTTATTAACGCAATACGATCTAATAGGATCAAACAAGCCAGATCATAATTTAATTTAATTAATATTTTTTTAATATTGACCGCGCATCGCGCGGGTACGACTACTAATTTTTCTTCTTAAAAAGGAAAAAAGCATGCATACGCTTTCCACAAAACTTCGAGATACACAAAACGTCTTCTTGAATTCTCCCATAAAACTAGGATATTTGGTTCGTGGATATAACTTGGTAGTCAAGAGAGGCGAAGTCGACTTAGGACCGCTGCGTTAAAGGTTCGATGTCCCTGTTACTATATTTTGCTGACAGATACACTATTCTTTCTCTGCTAGTCTGCTTCTCTTGAAATTGTCTAATGTGCTGTGATTAGCCATCATCATAGTTATAATTAGTAAGGCTCCTTTTGGCTTTAACATTATTTCAGTTCTGTTTCTTAAACAATGAAGTGAGAAACAGTATGCAGGGTCGTTTCATGTAAAAAGAACACTTTTTCTATAGAATGTTTTTTATTTGCAAGAGGGAAAAGTACTAGATTAATATGGATTTCTGATTCATTAATATTTTTCGAAAAAAGAAAATATTTAATGGAACAGTACAGAATACTGGTATTATACTTTGCTAATACGAAGAGTTCCAAATATCTAGAATTGATCAGACTTTAAGTACTACAAATTATTTGTAGTACTACAAATTAAACTAAAACTCTTCCTAATATATGACTCAAGCATGAGTTGATTTACAATTGTGGGATAGATCTTCAGAAGATGCTGGCAAGTTGACAAAAAGGATGAAACACTGAAACATCGCTACATAATTCTAACGGGTCACTGCATCTCTCTAATTGGAAATAATTTCCACTTAAGACTAAGTTCCTTTTTAATTCTATGGTGGCACTTGGTATGTATTAACCTTTCTTTTTGTAAGCTTCATAATTACTATCACTACTAGATTTTATCTCATCTCTTGTATAAAAATGTTCAGTAGTTCATTCTTCGCCTAATAAGGGTACAGGTTCGGAGAGAAATAAGGTTTAGCAGGAAAGTGTTGTAATACTTCTATATTCATTTTATAACCTAATCAATTATCTCTTCAGGGCACGTACAACTCCCTCATTCATCAAGAATACTTCAACAACTTATGCGAAATAAAATGTGAAAAAAGCATCCAAATATATAACAAGTGATCATCAACTGATTCATGTCAACCGGGGCGGAGCTACAGTTATATATGCTTAGGGGTTCAACAGAGCCCAATAACTTTGACTCACCTCTTCGTATTAAAAGTTCCACTTAATATGTTTTAAATAATTTATTTAGAACTGTTAGATAGTAGTGCATATGTCAAATATACTAGGTATATTTAATATACCGTTTCTCCAATGTGAGACACTAGTATATTAATATATATACACTATACTATCTAACAACAACAACAACGCTTTAATTTGCATGTCAACTATCACACTAGAAACAGGCACAGATTCAGGGAGAGGTGCAAAAATAAAATAACCATGAAGTAAAGCATTAATTGTCGTTGATAACTTTTGCTTAAAATCATCAAAGTAATAATCATGTTCGTGGCATAATATCCACTACTAATTAACTTAAGAAAATAAAGAAAACAAACCATTACTAGTATTGGAAAATTATCTAATTCCCTTGGAGGTTGGGGCCTATGATATATATAGACACATCAATTTTTCTAGGGCGTAAGGTTGACATGGTAAACCTCAGTCATATCAGGATAGAATAAACCAAAATTTTCCTCGACACCAGCGGGCTTTTGGTTCTCGTTAAAGAGAGCAAAAATGTACGTCTCCAAAACTTTGCCAGGCCTCCTAGGAGTTCCTTGTCCAGAAGAAACATGTGCAATCAAATTGTTTGCATATGTTTGAGCATTGTCTATAGTTGCAGCGACATCGCCAGCACTTGGCCAACCTGTCTCTGTAACCACGACTTCTACCGCAGGTTGTCCAACTTTCTCTAATGCAACATACAAAGAGTCCACCATTGCATCAAACAGGTTGTTGTATTGGAATTGGCCGTCACTTACAATCGGACCCGTGCCTTTCAAAAGTGCATAGTCTAATTGAATTTGAGCAGGATTTCCAGAATAAGCAAAATAAGGATACACATTAGCCAGTAGTGGATATTGTTTTGTAGCTAAAAATTGTGCTATGGGCTGCAGGAATTGAACGGCGCTATCAGAGAACGCTCCGTTCGAAGGAGGAAACGAGGTTCCTAACACTTGTAATGAGACTGTAGTTGAAACAGGTATGTTAAGGTTGTTGGCTTTCAGTGCAGAGTCGAGATTTTGCAACGCTCCTAATACGAAGTTTGCTAATGGTCCTGGTACGACTTCATTACCTGCTGAAATGTACGTAAATTTGACAGTTGAAGCATGTGGAATTACGTTGTTTTGTACCCAATTTGTAGCAAAAGTGGGATCGCTAGCAAGTGATTGCAGGTCTTCATTTCGGATACCAAGAATTACAGAAATATCAGATCCCTGTAATGCCGTTAAGACATCCTGATTGGGATCGAAAATTCGTATTTTTTGGATGTTTCTGGACTTCAAAAGATTGATCACTTGGGCTGGTGGTCGTAGATTATTTCCCAGGAGACCATAGTTCACACCAATTCCTTCAACACCTTTTTGCCACAAAAAAGACAAAGTAAAATATGATCATTAATTCGATTAAACAAATTCTAACAACGCGTAAACTAAAGCGCTCATCAAATAACAGAGTAATTAATGAGTTTACGGTACGACATGACATATTCACTTTGGCTCAAATATTGTATTTGTGTTAAAAAATTATTTAATATATATAAATAATTTATTCAAAATTTATTAACAAAAAAGATTGTATCCATATTTCATAAATTAAAAATTCTGGCTCCGTTTATGATCAAAACTTACCGGAGCTTATGGTCACACATACAAATAACAAGATGCAAAGCCGCTGCATGATTAATAAATATATAGAGAAGGACTATGATATTACCGAGCACGAGTGGAAAAAGGTCATATTTATACGTCTGAGGATCCTCGCTAATTACCAGAGTTACTACTAGTACGAAATATTTTACCATCAATGTTGGATCTTTATTTATTTAGTTTGCCTTTTTGGCATGAGATGGTGGATCTTTATTTATTATATTTTTGGCATGAGATGGTGGATCTTTATTTATTTATGTTGCCTAATTTGGCATGAGTATTATTTATAACATTTTAGTACATGTCATAAATAAGGACTGACTACTGTTAATTAATTGTAAACTCATCTATTACAAGCGGGATCTTCAAACTTGATCCTGGTAATTTCTCTCTTATTATATGTCCAGATACAAATTGCATCATTTTATTGCGTTCACAGTTAAAAGGAAGTTAAATTACATGTAGCATCCATATTTACAAATGAATCTCCTTCTCATATTAAAGAAAAAGAAAATACAATTTAGGCTTAGTATTATTCAACGTTCCCGACCAGAATACACAGCTAGCACAACCATGAAAAAAGAAGAAGAATAAACTAAAGAATATTGGATGATCACACGAAGTAATAAAACTGAACTAAACTGAATTTACTTAAGATTAGACAGGCGAAGACAAAATAATGAAGTGTTTATGGGAAAAACTTGCTAATATTTGGTGTATGTATTAAAATCAATAATGTATAATAACACATACTGTTCTTTTGAAAATTTTCAGGTTTTGCTTCACAACACTCACACTTCCGGTGGTTTGCCATATTAAACTTACCTCCAATATATTTGTTTACCCTAAAATCGGATAACAATTGAATTTATACGCGGTTTTAAAAATACGTGATATAACTTGGCACAAAATAAGAGGATACGTAGATTTGATATTGAAATTGACTGCAAATAGAAATAAAAGCAAACCAAAGGAAATATATAGCTTTGACCCTCAAGCTAGATCTCCCTCAAACCAAACGAATATTCCGCTGGTAAATAAGAACAAGGTGACAAAGTATTGAGAGCTTAAGAGAAAATAGTATATTGCTTTGTATTGCGTGAATATGATGTCTTTTACAGATGATCAGCTCCCCTTTATATAGTAGGGGAGTCCTACCCTTGAATCTTGATACAATTCTAAATACAATAAGAAATCCCATGATTAGCAAATTAATCGGCCTCTTCTTGATACATGTCGAGATTTTCGCCGTGATCCTCGTTCTATTGCGGATTTTTTAGCTTTCTGTTATTTGGCTCGGTAAGTTCCCCTCGATCTTGCTCGAACTCTATCCTGCCAGGTTCGATCTTGGCTGACCTCGATCTCGATCGATCTTTGGGTCACGAGCTCGGCAATCTATCTTTACACCACAGTCCGATATAACACGGGGTCGAATCTTGGCCTGCCACGTTCCAAGACAAACCCGATTTTGACCGTATACAGATAGTCCCCTCGTTTCTTGGAGAAAAAATGATGAGAAACGATATGAACTTTTCCAATCTCATCTCGATGGGTCATGACGTAAGCGACGAATCCGATCATGACGTCAGCGACAAGCGGATATTGAAACGTCCTATCAGTTCGGGTATCGAGGCATTAAATGCATGTCAGTTGTTGTCGACCACTACCGGTTATGAACCGTCGCCAGTTACCTATAAAAACCCTAGCCTTTCCTCATTCAAACTTTTACACTCAAAGTCCTCTCTACCTTTGCTTTTTCTTCAACAAGTCTCTTTGCTTTACAATCTTCACACTCAAATTCTTTGAACATTAATCAAATCGCGTATAATCCCAATCCTCTTTGTGAACACCTAATTTTTGACAACATTTAATTTTTATCACTTCTTTTATGTAAATATTTTAGGGGGTTTTAACCTACTATTATTTTAGCTTTATTACACTTTTTATTATAGGATAAAAATACAAAAAAAAATTAAAAGGTGAATTATCAATATTAATATTTTTTTTATTATTTGTTTTTATAAAAAAAATCCGAAAAAATTATTTTTTTTTAAAAAAATAAAATAAAATTTCGGGAATGATTTAAAAAATAATAAAAAGGGAAGTATTGAATAAAAAAAAAATATAAAACTAAAAATAGGTGGAATTCTATTTTAAAAAAAGTAAAAGAATGTAGAAAATTAAAAAAATAAAAAGTTTTGTGAAAATTTTAAAAAATTAAAAAGTAAAAGAAGGTTGGAATTAAAAAATAAATATAAAGGTATTTGAAAATTTAAAAAATTTAAAGTAAATGAAAGTAGCATTTTTAAAAGAAAAAGGAAAAGAAAGTGGTTTGTTTTTTTAAAGAAAAGTTAAATAAAGTGAGATTCTCTTTTAAAAAAAATAAAAAGTTGGGATTTTAAATAAGATAAAAGTAATTAAAGTTGGAATTTTAAAAATAAAAGTAAATAAAGGTGGGATTTCTTTTTCTAAAAAAATAAAAGCAATTTGTAAGTGGGATTTCTTTTAATTAAAAAA